AAGCACACACACATACACCCACCCCACCCCACCCCCACTGGTTTTCACTTTGGGCCCCTCATAAGCCACATCTGACTGCTGAAAATTAATCATCTTCACTTTTGAGGCACTTACTCTTCACAAACCCAGATAATCCAGCAAGGCTGAAATTAAAACATTTATACAAAATGTCAAAAACCCTTTCTCAAAGATGCCTCAGTGTTGAGACATTTTGGGAGGTAAAGCTTGTCCTATGAAACCTTGCCCTCAGTAGGTATCCTTGCATCATTAGGAAGTATTTTTTAAATTGAAGTCTAGTTTTACAAAGCCATGAGTTGGTGGATTAGTTACTTCCCTGGGTGGCATCTGTGCAAGGGAGTGCCATCTCTGTGCCAAGGATGAAAGCATTCTTAAGACAAGTCGTTCTGGGGAGGGGTGGGGGCGGGGAGAAAAGCCTGAAGGAGCAGGGCTGGAGATCCTGAGCCAACACCCCAGGCTGACGGAGAATGGCCAACAGGGCAGGATCCAACCCCCTCGGAGCCATCCCTGAAGGGTCCCTGTGCCAACACCAGGAGCTCTGGCCGGCGGCGGTGGAGTGAATCCGAATGCCCTGTGCTTTCTCCCCTCCCCCACCCGAGCCCCATCATGACTTGTTTGCTCTTCATTTATGTAATTCACATTATCACATTTATGCTGCTCTGACTGAAGATGAGTTGCACATATATGAATAATTTAATTCTTCCATTCTTCATCCAGTTTCCTCTGTGACTGGAAACTGAAAAGAACACAAAAACTGGAGAACCGACACCACGCTCTAATCTCAGTTGCCATGACAGCAGCCTTTGAGATACTGAAATGTTCCGATTGCCAGCTAAACAAAATTGTTGAATGTGAACATTTGGCTGGAAGATTAAAAGGCTAAAGGGAATGCAAAAGGGCAGTACCTCCCACATTCCAGGCAGCAGTGAATCCAATCAAATGGCTCTGACTCCTTAACCACAGCCATTGTGAGCACTGGATTAGGGCAATTCATCTAGATAGTTAGAGCAGATTAGAACTGCAATTTGAGGACTATTGGCAACAAAAGCAAATGCCCTACTGTACTAAGTTATAAGATTTCAGAACGCCTTTTAGCAGAAGTGATGTGAAACTTCCCATTTCAACACAAGAATTGAAACGTGGATTTTTAAAAATTCATTTCAACTCACCGGTGTAAAATGCTATCTGACCAAGGAGACAAGAATAAAAGGGTTCAGAGCTTTTTTTGCGATTTTGGCATTAGCTACACCTTAATGTACCTTCATCAACTTCTAAAAGCATAAAATCAAAACTTTATTCCTGAATTCCAATTTCAATGTTGAACACTCAAAAACAAAAATATAAAGGTTTAAATAGAGAACAGTGAATAATTGTACACAGAAATAATTACCCCAAGGCATTTTACAATTCTGATCAAGTAAGGAATAGCAAAAATCAAATTATTTAAAAAGCATATTTGCAAACAACGAAGCCACAATCCACATGCTATGAATTTTGCTTCTGCAAGGCACCATCTGTAGAATTAATCTAAAGATTAATTTTATAGAAACATCACGCACTCCCTCAGCTCCCAACCTGCCCAGGGGACAGAGCCCCTTCAGTCCCGGGACGTGAGTGCACAATTGCCACACCAGTAAGTCACAGGCCTCCGGAACTAAGCAGCACAACACTGGGGGCAGTTTCTCAAAGGCAGTGTCTAACCAGACTTTAAGACAATGACAAAGAGGGAAGGAAGGGTCCAAATTGCCTGAATCAACAATCCCCATTGCTCAAATGCAATGCATAACTAGCATCCTTTGGCTCTGCTTTCACATTTCAGGAACACCAATCCACTGTCTTTTTCACTCTTACCAACCTTTCAGCTCCCTAGTCAAGCTAGAAATCCAAGTGATAACACTCTTAAATCTCCAGCTAAGAACTGGGCAAGGGAACAAGGCTAGAGTCTTAGCAGCCACCAAAACCATTCCATTCCACACAGTTATGACATCAATGACCCCAGGACACCAAGGCTGGGGTTTAATTCAGAACCAATAACAGGATGATACCCTTTGATAGAACTACTCTGGAGAATGTAACAAACAAATAAATGGGTTGAGGGTGGAGTGTAAATTAGAATCCTCAGCATACCTCTCCAGGGAGGGAACGTGAACCCTGCACGTAAGGACACATTACCAGAAATATTAGGACGTGTAAATTAAAACAGAAGACAGTTCTCCTTAGGGGAGAAACCAGGACAAGAGTCAAGTGGGTGGAATGCACAGGTTTTCTATTAAAAGCACACGGCAACTGGCTGACTGGCCAGGAGCCCTTCTGCAGAGCAAAAGGTACTGAGAAGACTCAGGCCTTCCCACCTGGGGACCCAAACACTAGCACCACAAGCAGCAGCAGCAGAAGCGAGAGCTGAACACTAGCACCCAAGCAAGCTCCCCCATACCAAATGTTCGAGGAAAGGATGCAGATAATAGAAATCTCACAAAGAACCAGAAAGCACGAACAAGAAGAGTAAGGCACACAGAGGCACACCCCCCACACACCCACACAAATGCACACAAAGAGGAAAGTGGAAGATCTAGGAAGGCGACTTTATCCTACCTTCTCAGTTTTCAGTTTCTTGATTCGCCTGTGGCTCTCCTCCTCCTCCTCTTCCTTCTTTACCAACATAGAGTTTCCCATGAGCCCTGAATCCGGGGCACTTTTGCTAACTTCCCCTGCAGCCGCGACGCTGCCACTCCCAGTGCCCCCGCAGTGGAAGGGGCTCGCGCCACCTCCATTGCTCTTGGCCCCAAAGCCATAGAGGTGCCCCCCGGAAGGGGCCTGGCTGCCACTGCCATTCTGGTGGCCCTGAAGCAGGTCGTGCTTGTCCTTCCTGGATTTCCCCGCATCCTTATCCCGCTTGGCGCCTCGGCTGCTCTGGCTTTTACCTGGCTTCTCCTCTTTGCTTTTCCCACAGGAGGCCGCCCCCGCGGTGGCAGCGGAGGTGCCGGTGCTGGTACTGTTGCTGTTTGGGTTGCCGCCGCCGCCGCTGCTCACACTTTGACCCAGCGCTGAATTCATGCCAGTTGCCTCTCCAGGGCGCCCTTGGACTTCCTGCCTCTTGCCAGTGCTGCTGATCTCGGGAATCCCATACAAGGCAGCAGAAGGCAGAGATTTATTAGCATCCTTAGAAGTTTTACTCCTTTTCACTTTTGATTTGCTGGTCTCTTTGTGTGAATTCCCCTGGGGAGCAGAGGGCTGAACAGAAGCAAATTTTAGGCCATCAGCTAAGGCTGCGGTAGCACCGGCCCCACTGGAGGCCAGACCTCCACAATCCTTAGAGTTGCTGCTGCTAGTGGTGGTGGTGGAATTATTCATCTCAAATTTCTGTCTGTCCTTCTCCAAATCAGCGTCCAAATCAATTATTAAATTTCCAACCCCGATTTCCCAATCATCGCCACTGTCATAAGTATCAACTGTATTTGGATCCACACCTTTTCCTGCCGTGGAAATGTTCACTGACATCCTGAAGATGAGCTCTCTAGAATAAAAATCCGATGAACTTTCCTTTGGAGATGAGGGGACATTCGTTTAGCTCCGCTGGGCTTTCTCTTAAAAAAAAAAAAAAATCTTCTAATCTTCCTCTTCTTTTTCCTGCCCCAGGAATGTGTCCAGGGATCTTACACCCTTCAGTCCAGGTCCACCTTTTCCTGTGAAGGGGGAAAAGTCGAATATTTCTTGTCTGGGTGTTACCAGAATAAAAACGATTAATACTGGGGAGTCAGTAAGGGGTACAGGGAAGGATGGAGAGTAAGGTGGCTCATGTATTGTCTCCACAGTCCAATATCGGTTTTAAAGGAATATAACCAAACCCGAAAAACATACCCATGACAGTAAGCATCTTACAGTAGCTAAAAAAGAAAATCCCTTTATCAACAACACAAGGATAATCACTTTTTTAAAGGCATTAAAATATCTTAAGGATCTGAGTCAAGTCCAGAAAGGTTTTAAAAAAAAGAGAGTTTAGGATTTTTTTTTCTAACACATACATGTGATCTCTCAACCCCAGAAACACAGCCTGAACACTCAGACGAGGGAGGAACACGGCTTTAAACCCTCACGGTGTCCTAGATCTTGCAATTTCAAAGACCAGACCCTGGAAGTTTTCTGAGGCTAGTTTCAGAATGATGCTGCTAAATTTTCCATATTTCTAATTTTATTACTTCTTTTTTACAAATTGTCTGGGCAATCTGGTTTTTGTTCCCAGTAAGGAACAGAAAAAAACAACCAACACCCCCCCACACACACACACATACCCCCTCCTATCCTCTCTTCCCCAACAGTTTAAACAATTTTATTTTTGAAATATACACACGTCTTTAAGAGCATTTCTCTATAGAAAAGACAGTGTTAAATAAAAGGCTCAGTATCTGCTTTTTGAGAAAAATATTACACCCAAACAATTCTACCATATTCCTAGGTCACAGACTTGCTCAATCTGTTAAATATGGTGCTACTGACTGTACGGGCAAACTGATTAAGACATACACTTTAAGTGATCTGCGCCAAGGTGGCCTCAATGACCGCAAATGAGTGTGTGTTTGACAAAGATCAGTTAAAACGGTTTTTAAAGGGATCAGCCCCTTTTTAACAGTTGATTGTCAAGAAAAAAATAAATAAATATACATACACACACACACACACACACACACACACATTGCTTACCTTTAATCCTTTATCATTTTTTAATTAGGCCAGCAAATCAAAATGCCTTTGCCACTCCACTCGGCAAATAAGCCTGTGCCTCATTTTACTTAAACACCAAATGATCAAGAAGGAAGAAACCAAATAACACATCTCAGCCAGAATAATCACTCGATAACATTATTCCACCTCCCCACCCCCCTTTTGGCAAACGGATCAGGAGTCCTTTTCTCCTTAAAAAAATGTGTCACTGTACAGCTGGAAGATAATGTTTCACATTCACAACAGAAGCACCAAAGGTTTTTTTTCCTCTTAACAAGCATCGAGAATAATAGTTTTTTAAAAAAGAGAGAGCTTAGAGAAAAAAGTTTTCCCAACTTCTCATTCCGCCTTCAGTTCCAGACTTCAGAGTCACCGTGATCAGTAAGTAATGCTCCCATGTAGCAAACCTACAGGCGTCCGCTAGTAACAAGACAGAATGTGCTAACATCGGGATAAATTAGTGAAAGGGAAGAAAGAATAAGAAGAAAGGACTGAAAATCTGGGCTGGATTCCGCCTGTTAGTCGGGAAGTGGCATTTTTCCGCCCGTCCTGACAGATTTGATTTCTTGAACTAACTTAAGAGGAAAGGAGGGGGAAGAAGAGGGGGAGGAGGAGGAAGAAGAAAGGGTGGGATGAGAAGCGGAGCGAAAGGAGAAAAAGAAAGGTGTGGAGGGGGAGGGGAGCGGAGGATTCAGTGAGCTGATAAACCAGTTATAACAGCATTCGCTCGGGGCGGGGGGCGGGGGGCGGAGGGCAGTGGGGTGGGGAAAATAACGGCATTTAAAATTGGTTCAGTCTTCGAAACCCAAAGGATGTGATGTTTTCCTGTTTTATGTTGTTTTAAGAAAAAGGAACCGAGTTCCTAGTATAGTCCCCAAGGGGGAAAAAATCCGCTGTCGCCCAAGCCGATCAGTCATGTGGTAATTCGATAATTAGAGTCAAAAAAAGATTTTTTTTAAGGCGACCTTTTTCAGGACAGTTTTTCTCATTTATAGTCGCAGCAAACGGTGCGTCTCCCTTTTATTTATTTTTCTCTCCTCCTCCTCTCTCGCCCACCCCCTCCTGTGTTTAGTCAGATGGCCCCGGAGCTTGGCTTAGTATTTTTAATTAGCTGGGGTTTGGAAGCTAAAAGCAGTAATGAATTGTTGATGGATTGGAAGTGGAGAGTCGCTTTGCTGGAAATGTCGGGGCTGGGAGAGGGGGATGGGCGAGTTAGCAACAACCAACCATCTAAAAGGAGCGATTTTGTTACAGTGCAAGCCTTTCACATCACGTGAGGATCAAGGGCTCAATTGGTTGTCGTGAGAACAAAAATGGTGACAAGCGTATCAAGAAAATACTGATCTGGTCTTTAAAAAAAAGCTGAAGGTCTCTCCCCTCCCCCTGCACACACTCTCCCCCCGCCGCCGCCTCCCCCCCTGCAGTGGGCGCAGCTACAAGTTATGAATGTGAAACATTTCTCGCAGATCTAGGATCTCGGAACTTCGGAAGGAGTGAAATGTAATGAGCACAAGAGCAAAGCAGATGTTTTAAAGAAACACCTTATAAACCTTTCCTCAACTTATCTCCAATTTGTCGGCTTTCCCAAGAGGCCTAGGCAAGGGGGGAGGGCACCTCCGAGCTACTTGGGTTTTAGGGACCCCCTCATGTCTTAAACAAAGAAAAACATTTTGCTACCTCCCAAGCCAGGTCCTGTAATAAACACACCATTGTTACTATTTGTGGGTTTGTTTGGGTTGGGTGGGGCTTTTTTTTTTCCTAATGGTGTTTTTGCTGCTTGCTTTTTTAAGGAGGTGGAAAATGGTAATTATAACCATTACATGTAATGGGTGACTATTCCCTTGTTTAGTATTAAATTATTGGGCACTAGTATGTGACAGGAGACAGAAATCGGCTTGTTCTGCCCTTGCCCCCATTTTCCTGGCTCTGTTTGGAAGAGGGTCTTGCGCAGCTAGGATAGGAGAGGAAGGGGGTGAGGTGAGCTAGAGAATGGACACTGCAGATCAGGATATGTAACTGTGTCACTTTTATTCTCCTTGGGTTAGAGCCCAAAAAGTAATTTACTCTAAGTTACCCCGAGTGCCCAGTCAAGCTTAATTTGTGTGAAGAAGTTACAAATGCTTCACCCTCCACTGAATAAAATTCACCCTTCCTGGGTTGTTGTTCTCAATGCAAAAGCCAAACCCTGTAACTAGTTCCTCATTTCAATGCATAAAACTCGCACATTCCCCTGCATGAAGTCCCCGCTAAGTGCTATATAGAGACACACCACGCAACCGTACTTACGGTCTGTATTGGATCGAGTTGACCTTTTCCTTCTAACTGCATTGAATGTGTTTGGTTGCAGCCGCTTTATTTTGGAAATTATAATCTCTTCAACAAATTTATTATTAAAGAAGATGGACCATCAAATGTCACAGACCGTCCTGTGTATTTTTTATAAAAGCAAAAATTAAAATTAAAAAAGAAAAAAGAAAGAAAAATCCCCCTGGTGCACACACACAACAAGCTTGTTCTGCAACACTGAAATCAGGACTGAAACACAACACACACACAGGGGGAGTGGAGCAAAAGGAGCTCTCAGCCTCTATACCTGAAAGGGACTTTTCTTTGTTCCCATTGCCCTTTCGCATCGGGCCAATCAGAGAGCAGCTTTTATGAAACTGGGCTTTCTCATTGGCTAGCTGCTTTCTCTTGGCTACTGTAGGGGGTTGAGATATACACACGTATAAAACACACACTGAGAGCGGGTGGGGGTGCGGTGGGGGGTGGTTGTGGAGACAAAGCGTTTTATTTTCCAACCAGATTGGGGTTGAGGAACCTCCTGCAGTAAGAAGAAAAAAAAATGGTGCGCCCATTTCAATTACTACATCATTCACATAAAACACTTATTTATTAAAACAAATCTCAAACAGACTGCGAGGAGAGGATGTCGATAAATACAAGTTTGATTGTGTTATCTTGGGGGAAATAATGTATGTGATCGCTCGGTGGCAGAGGGAAGCCAAATGAGCCACTAGCGCGTAGCGAGGAGAAAAGGGAGGGTGACTGTGAGGAAACCACTGCGAGCGTTTTGCTGGCTTCTCTTCCTTGTTGCAAGGACTCGGCAGCGCGAACTCCCGAGACTGATTTTCTGTATTGCAGCTTCTGGCTTTCAACCCTCCCCCACCACTTTGCCCTTCTTCCAATTTTTTTTCCCCCCGTGTCTCTCTTTTTACTTTCTGATTAAATAAGAAAAATCGATCTGGGGGTAAAGGCGGTGGTGGGGAAACAAGTAACCCTTTCGTTTCCAGTCTCCTGGTCTACAAGCACTGAAGTGTGAACGCTGGCAACCGTTTCACCCCCACGACGCGAACAGTTCTTCCCTGGAATTAGTAACAAATCTTTTCCACCTGGCCCTGGGCGACTGCAAAAAAATAAAAAATAAAATAAGGTCCCAGCCAACCATATTAATACCTCGGGCCAGCCTCATTTTTTAAAAAATCGATTTGTGGGAGATAAATGTACTAGGAAGATTAACCCGTTAAACAGTCCCCCTCCGCGTTTTTAAACCGACGGATTGCAGAGCTCGCCTTCCGCCAAATCTTTCACCCCGTCTTGGGGAGAGACGGGTGTCAAATTCCTCTGACCGCTACACCGCAATCCACCAAGAATACAGAAATATTTTAGAATTTACTGCAGGACAGATGCCAACAACCAAGTTAATGGGACTCTGAGGTCACAGGATAAGAGAGGGTAATATGAAATAACAAGTTCAGTATTGTACCGTAACAGCCAACATAAGTTAATGCCTTTATATATATCACACCTTTAGAGCACTTTTGATTTTTCATTGTTATTTTCCATTACTTTTAGGAGCTCTCATACGGATATTTTAAAGGATACTCTGAATTTAACTGAAAGTATCATGATTACAAGTTTTAAAGATCCAGCATTACTGGGATTATAATTTCCACATGACAACTGGTATTTAAGAATGTGTCTTAACTGAGTCAGATGGACATATTAAGTGAATTAGTGTTAGCAGAAGATAGCTTATGACGTAAATATTCAATGATGACTTTGTGGATCAATAAAAATATTTATGTCACATGTTTTAAGTAATGGCTATTGACTCCTGTTTGAGCTTTCAGTATATTTAGTTCATTAAAAAAATTGCCAATTAATTGTTTCACTACCCAAGATGAACTAGATTTGATGCTGCAAATAGTAATAAACAGCAGTTTCCACCCTTTCCTGGGCTAAACTAGAGGAATGCAATCTGTGTAGTCCTTAGATCTCCCTAAATAGATTTGGATTCAAATAAAAGCTGTACATTAACAAGTTAAATGGGGCAAATTAGATCTGATACCACTTATCCTCTATTTTAGCTTTGATGTTTGTTTTATATTTTTGAATGTACAGATTTTACAATTTGTGTATGTCCATTGATAACAACACAGCATCATATGGTGATTTTTAACTTTTCTTCTTTTAGAAGAGTGGTTCCTCAAAGGACCAGGATCACTCTTGGGCACTTCCTGGGTCCCTGGAGTATTATGTACGTTTCAGCCTTTGGAAGCCCATGGCTACCCCATATGTTATATCAGTTTGGAAAAATCAATGGTTAGCTCTTAAGATGACTGGGCTTCAAAAGACGTAGAAAATAAGACTTGGCGAAGCTGGAAAAGAGTAGAAGCAGTCCAACACACTCCCTTGGTGAAAACAAATCACAGGGTCTGCAGCATAGATTTAGTGTAACTAAAACCAAAATTTAGCCTTTTAAACTTAATCTGATCTAAGCCTAACTTCAACACCTAACCCTAAATCTTAAACCTTTTTGATAAACCGCTCTGGTCAAAGCCAAAGCTTATGCCAACTCAGTCACATGTTTAACCCAAATCATTTTGATCAGTTAAAGCCTTTTCCTTCCACTCCAACATCTCCACACTCGATGCGCACCCCAGCCCCACGGCCTGCCCCCAAGTTCTTCCAGGAGACTTGAACAAACCAGAGCTGTTAAGCTAGCTTTGCATGTGTTTGTTTTGTTTTGTTGGACAAAGGGACCAGTCAGGAGACATCAGAGGGCTATCAGCTAATTGATGACTGAAACTATGATAATTAACTACCAGCTTAGAAAATCAGAGCTACTCCCCTCACAAAACTGAGAAGTTCTACTATATTTTAAAGAAGAAATTTTATCTTTATCTCTTATTAAGATAACAGGAAACAGGGACCGGCAGGTGGCCAAGCTCCGCTTCAGGTGGCCCTGGTTCACCAGTTCAGATCTGGGATGCGAACCTACTCCACTCATCAGCCATGATGTGGAGGCATCCCACATACAAAGTAGAGGAAGATTGGCATGGATGTTAGCTCAAGGCTAGTCTTCCTCAAGCAAAAAA